CCCGTCGGAGCCGTGCTCCCAGTGTTGGATGCTTGGGCGTGTAGCGGCTGCCGGCACACGTTCCGCCTGATGCAGGCGAGACGCCGTGCGACGCCACGCTCGCAGCCACCACCGCCCTACGCGCGAGGAGCCCGCATTATGTGCGCGCTCGCGGACTTTCTCTGCGGCCTCCTTCTGCAGCACAACATCTTCGCAGAAGTAGGGCATCGCCCGCCACGCGCTCGCGCTCTCCGTCATCTGGGGGCCGTTGGCGGGGAGCGAAAGATCCCGCCCCACAACGCGACTGAGGACACGGCGCGCGCGAGCCTACGCTGGACATTCCTGCAGCGCGTGCTGCGCCGTGTCCCGCTCTTCGCCGCAGTGGTGGCACTGCGTCGTCCTCTCACGTCTCAGCCGACCCAGGAACTCCACGAAACAACCGTGTCCGGAGAGCACCTGTGTCAGCCGGAACGTGTGCCGGTTGCCGCTGCGCACCCAGGCGTCCAGCACCGGGAGCACGGCTCCAACGGGCCGGTGCCGCTGGCTGCTCGGCTCCCTCAGCCAAGCTCGCCAAGCGGACATCACGGACGACTGAACTGAACTGGAACTGTACTGAAAACTGTGCCGAATCTATATTGCAACTGTCCTCAAACTGTGCTTTCGCAAATTTTGCGGGCCCTTATATAATGTTAGACTTTGGGGGGTGAAGATGACCATTGGCCCTTAGTGAAAGTGGGAATGAGTCAATTGTTTTTGGACTCTGAAATAGGTCTGCGTTTATCAACCTGGTCCTTCTAGTGACTAAGGGCCAACTAGTCGTTAGTCATCCAACAAGGTGCCTGATTTATTGCGACAACATTTGAAAGTAAGGGTGAACTTTGAATGGATGAGGGAGATGGGAAAAGAGGATCGGAAAGTAATAATTGCAAAATGTGAAAGTTGGAAGCAAAAAGAAGATATAATGAGGAACAAAAGTTCACCGAGGAATACAAACATATTCATTGAACGGGACTTAACCAGGGAAAAAAGGGGGTATAACAGAGATTGAGACAGATAGCGAAATTGGAGAGAGAAAAGGGCAGGAAAGCAAAGGTAGGATACCAAAGGATTAAAATGGATGGTGTATGGAGGAGTTGGAAAAATATGGTGGAAAACAAGAAAGAAACAAACCCAAATTTTTAAATCAGAGCTAAGAAAAGAGGATGAAATAGGAAGAAGGAATAATTGAAGGAAAAAGAGGAGGTAAAATGCTATTCTGGAACGTTGCAGGACTGACAGGGAAGGACGCAGACTTCCAGAGTTATTTACAGGGTTTTGGCTTTGTAGGAATAGTGGAAACATGTGTGGAAGAGAAGAGTTGGAATAAGATAAGAGGCAGGTTACCGAAAGGATACATATGGAGACACCAGGGAGCGAGAAAGGATGAAAGAAAAGGAACAGCGTTGGGGGGTACATTGATGGGAGTGAAGGAACAGTGGAAACCGGACGAGAAGGTGGTACAAGAGGAAGAAATAGTGGGAGGAAAGTTAATGATAAATGAAGAGGTGTGGAATGTATGGACTGTGGAATGTATACTGTAACAGAGAAATGGAAAATATTGAAAGAAAAATAAGGAGGATAGTAAAAGATGAAGGAGAGGACAGCAAATTGGCACTAGGGAGAGACTTTTATGCAAGGATTGAGAAAGAAGGACAATTGTACGTGGGCACTAATAACGTTAACGGTAAGGAAGAGATAGAGGAAAGAAAATCCAAGGACGAACTTAAGAACAAGCAAGGAGAGTGTCTGCTGCAATTAGCCGAAGATAGGAGTTGGCATATCGCTAATGGAAACATAAAAGGTGATGAAAGTGGAGAATTTACTTACATTGGAAGTAGAGGAGCTACAGTAATAGATTATGTATTGCTAAATACACAGAGTTTGAAAGAGGTGGAGAAATTCGTAATAGAAAATAGAACGGAGTCAGATCATCGACCTCTATGTCTAGCCTGGAAGGGAGTGAAGAACCGGGGAATATAAAAAGGAAAAGAGGAAATAAAAAATATTGTATGCTGGGAGCAGGAAGATGTGGAAAATTATCTTAAGAAATGTAGCGAATGGGAACTATCAGACGGGAATACAAAACATACTTGGGAGGAATTAGTAAGCAGAATAAAAGCGAGCGTGAGAACAAAGGAAATCAGATGGAGTAATAAAAGGATAGGATATTTTAAATGACTGGTTGAGCAATGTAAAAAAGCGAAAAGACAGATAAAAAGTAAATATACAAAATGGAAGAAAGGGAAGATTACAAGAGAAGAATACATAGAGGAGAAGAAACGATTTCGGGAAACGTGTAATGAGAAGCGAGAGAAAGTAAAGCAACAAGAAATGGAAGAGATAAGAAAGATTAAAACAGAGGCCCAAATTTGGAAATACATAAATAGGGAAAGGATGATACGACAGAGGTGGGGAGAGAGTATAGAGATGAAGGCATGGGAACAGCATTTTATAAACTTGCTGAATGGATCTAAAGAGGTGATGCGGAGTGAAGGTAGAAACTACGTGAAAGGAGAAGGGGAAGGGGAATATGGTTTGAAAGAGGAAGAGGTTGAAAATGGTATTAGAATAATGAAAAAAAAGAAAGCAGTAGATAGCGACGATGTACCGAGGGAAGTTTGGATATGCAGTGCAGGGAATGCAAGATCGAAGTTTAAAGAGTTGGTAAGAAAAATCTGGAACGGTGAAGGAACACCAAAAGAATAGAAAAGAGCAATTATTATGCCTGTATAGAAGAAAGGAGATGAGGGTGTGGTGCAAAATTACAGAGGGATGTCGATACTGAATGGAGCTTATAAAATTTATGCAGCAATATTAAACGAGAGACTAGGAAAGGAAATAGAAAAGATTGAGATCTTAAGTGAAACACAGCCAGGATTTCGGAAACAAAGAAAGGGGTATTGGACAACATCTTTATCCTTCAAGATATAGTGGAAAGGGAATTAGAAAAGAAGGGGCGCGGGAGGGATTGTAGCGTTTTTTATAGATTTAAAAGCGGCATTTGGCAAAGTAAACAGAAGTATTCTTTGGAAGGTTATGGAAAAGAATGGAATAAGTAAACCAATGATTGAAAGAATTAAACAGGTGTACGAGGAAACGATAAACATAATAAAATGTGGAGGAGAATTTTGGACAAAGAATGGGCTACGACAGGGATGTATACTGAGTCCGACCCTGTTCAATCTGTATGTGTCAGACACGAGCTAAAAGAAGAAATGAGGAAAGAGCAAGTTGGAGGAGTAACAGTGGGAAAAGAAAAATTTCATACGCTAGCATACGTAGATGATATGGTAATGGTAGCTAATAATGAAGAGAATACGAGACTTTCGATGAAGAGACTAGAAAAGTACCTAGATAAGAAAAAGAACTTAACGTAAATAAATCAAAATTAATATTTAGAAAAGGACGGGGTAGGAAAAAGAAACAAGAGTGAAAATGGAAAGGTGAGATGATTGAAACGGTGAAGGAGTTCACATATTTGGAGTTTAAATTGCAGGAAAACGGAGGAGTGTCAAGGCACATAAAGGAACGAGTAAAAAAGACTAATGTAATTATGAGACAAATATGGGGAATTGGTGAAAGAAAATTTAGGGACGAATTCAGTAAGAGAATGTATATGTTCGATAGCCTGGTGGCGAGCGTAATGTTATATGGAGCGGAAATTTTTCGGTGGAAATACCTAAATAGTTTAAAGGTAGTGCAGACACGTTACGCAAAATGGTGTTTAGGCCTAGAAAGGAGCACTTCGAACTACATAGTATTAGAGGAAATAAAAAGGGACAGGATAGCAAATAGGGCAGGAATTAGGGCAGTCAAATTTGAAGCAGGGATAAAGAACTCGTGTGGAAGGTTATTAGCCAAGAAATGTTTAAAAGAAAAGGAGAGTGGCAGATACCAAACTAGTAGCTGGAGAGATAAAGAAAAATTTTACCAAATGTATGGTCCAAGTCGGTTACAAGTGGCAATATTAGAAGAAAGAGGTAGGGATATATTAGACTTAATTAAGAAAAGAGATAAAGAATTACAAGGACAGTTGAAATATAATAAGATTAGAGAGTCGAGGTATAATATATATTACAAATACATAGTCACGTTAAAGCGCCCGAAATATTTAAATAAGGCAGGAAGTGGTAATAGCCAGAGACTTCGTGCAAGGGCGAGATACGGGAACTTCGAAAGGAACAATAGATGTTGGATAGCAAAAGAACAAAGAAGGTGCATTTTATGTAACAGAGCGGAGAGCACATTAAAACATATGATAGAAAGCTGTGACAAAGTAAAGGAAGGGGAAATTTCAATTGAAGAAGTTTTGGAAGGAAGAGGGTGCGAGATGGTAGAAAAATGGATAAGAAATGTAGATAGGAAAATAAGAGCAATAGAAAAGAAAGGAGGGCACTAAATAATAAAAGAGCGAGCAATGAATGAATAAAAGGGAGGGCATACATATGTAGAATACTAGAAAAGCGGAGAAATGGTAAGAAATGATATAGGCTTGAAACACGGCTTGAAAGACTAGCTGGCAGGCACTAGTGCAAGTACAAATATGCTAGCTTGTAAACGAAAAAGACGTTCGCGGAATATGTAATATGGAATCTGAAAGACAACATTTTAATAAAGTCAATCGAGCACGTTTTAAAGGAATGCCCGATGTACAAGGATCGTAGATCGTCGCTATAATATGAAAATGCCAATCCTAGCATTGAACATGCAAGAAGATTATTCTTCTTACGTACAACAGACAATGAGAATTCATACAACCGAGGTCGACAGATTTTAGGTCGACACTTTCCAGGGAAAACAGCTTCTGACCGATAATTTTAAAAGAGAGAAAGTTCCAACAATTATACATTTAGTTTACAATCTTATACAATCTTGCTAATTACAATATTACTTCAGAGATACATGATATATGTATTTTAGAAAACAGACATAGACATATGTATAGATAGTTATTTTATAATTTTCGAACGTCGACTACTTACGTCGTTAATATTGCGCTATTCTTCCTTCTTGCCAGTATATTAGGTACCGAAACAGATTTTTCCAAAGGCATCTTGTGAACGAGATGAGAATGATGCAGCTTCTGATTCGATTTTTTATGGATGTCCGCTACGGCTACATACGCATGAAAAATATATGTATACATCTATGAAATAGAATATTTATAATAGTAGTTTTTTCAATAGATAATGTACGTATGACAGAATGTAATTTACAATTCAATGGAGTTCTGTGCACGCGTTCCCGACGTTCCTGCCATATCCGCCATTCCCGCCATTCCAGCGTTTAGTACTACGTAAATAATCGTTGTCATTCTACTTGCAATCATTCGGCGATAGTGAAGATATCACAACTGTGATTATTCACACACTTTTTTCTATCAAAATTTTAATTTGCAAAATTCTTCCGAAAATTCGAATTATTCGAAAACTGAAAGTGACAGAGTAGTTTGTTTCCGTATTTTGTAATTATATGAACATTTTTATATCTCGTTAGAAATCAACATTTTGAATTTATAACAACTTTCTTTTCTACTACGTATAAACCTTGTTTTCAGCTTCCGAAAAATTGGCAAAAAACTTCTGCTACTATTTCATTCGATTAAATTTGCATGTACGCGTATTCACGATAGCGTTTCTGTCAATATGCGCTCGCTGCTTATCTACGCCGTTTCTGAGTGTCTGTACGTAGTAGATAAAATCCCAGATGAATTCGAAAGGTTAAGAAAAATAACGTTTTGGGTTAAAACATTATAAAGATTATAACGTGCGAGTTTACCGAAAAGACAGCTTTGGGTGAAGTTTAAACGGCTTAAGGAAGCTACTACATACTACGCGCATTCGCGATAGACCATGCACGCTGTCGGTACGCAGCTCCGGTAGAACTGTGTGGACAAGTAAATACACCTACTGAGACGTGTAGATCACCGGTCAAATTCGCGTTCACCCGTTAACACCTTAATACCTACCTACAGTGACTCGCGAAAATATTCGGACACCAGGGTATGTCTGAATTAATCAGATCGTATCGCAGATACTAATAAATGGATCGTGTTCACTACTTCTGTTAATTCGTGAAAGGTCGTTTTCGATACTACGCTCATCCCTTTGTTCAGGACTGTAAAGCTAAAAGTGAAGGCTCTGTTTTATGTCCTTACTGTCAGCGTCCCTTGACTTTTCTACACTCATTGTCACCTAATCCTCCACTTGGGTAAACCCTAGCAAGCAACTATATATCACTCCGGAGACGACGGGCATGGGGACCCAGATTGTTTAAACAACCACCGCCACCGAAAGATGCTGGAGCTAGGATACACCCCCAATCAGCATAAAGACGAAGAATATATAACCACCGGCAGAGCAGTCACGAAGAGAGATCAGGAGAGTTATCCGAGAGTTATACTAAAATACAGTCCACTATACACAACCTTCCCCAATGAACCGTCCGTTATTAACCGTCGTCAACTAAGACCGACCTAGTGACGATATAAAACTTCTTCTAGTGATAAGACATTTATTCAAGTAAACATAGACATATGTTTTATGTAATAAATTTGCATGGATTTATTATAATAAATTATAAACAAAATGATGCCCCATTTTCACGTAACAAAAATATTCGGACACTTGGCATATATAACATTATATAACCCTAATTTATTTACATAAACCCATTTTTTTATATCTTGTCACATAGCCTTTTTGTTTCGATACGTGCCTCAATCTGTTGGGCATATTATAAATGATTTTTTCCAAATAGTTCGTACTTATAGCAATCCACTCTTCCAGCAACCTTTGTTTTAATTCTTCTTTTGAGTTAATTGGTGTTTTTCGTATTCCGCGATCTAAGTTATCCCATAAATTTTCAATCGGATTGAGATCCGACGATTGTGGTGGAGGATGAAGAACTTTCGGGCAACGATAAAGCAAGAATTTTTGTACAATGCGTGCTTTCTGTTTGGGGTCGTTATCCTGGTAAAACTTAAAATTGTTGCGAATTCCCATTTTTTCTGCACTATTTAATAAATTACTTTTCAGTAGCTGCAAGTAACAGTTTTCGTCCATGATGGTGTCAATAAAAACTAAATTGCCAACTCCTTTGGACGAAATACAGCCCCAAGCCATCACGCTGTCTCCGCCGTGCTATACAGTACCTTTCGTGTTTCGATGGTAGAACTGTTTATTCACTTTCCGCCACACCATTCTTCTTCCATCTGAATTGTGGATGTTAAATTTGCTTTCATCGGCAAATGTAACGTTGTCCCACCATGATTCCTTTTTTGAAATAAATTCTCGTGCGAATAATACACGTTTTTTCCTGTTTGCCTCATTAATAAAAGGCTTTTCTCTACAGACATGGCCGTTGTACCCGTCTTGCCTAAGAGTTCTCCGAATTGTTTCGGGATGAACTTGTGTTCCTGCCTCTTCATAATGTTCTGCCGCCAATCGAGCATTTGCTTTAGCATTTAATCGAGGATTTACTTTAATTTTTCGAACCATTCCTCTTTTTTTTCTCGCAGTTAGAGCGGCTGGTTGACCAGTTGGAGGAATAAAGTCGATACGATCTTCATCCTCAAACTTCCTAACCATGTCAGCGACCGTACTTTTACTGATTTTAAGTAAAGAACTATTGTCGCGGTAAGACTTTCCTTTCCCACGATGAAAAATTATTAATTGACGTAAATCAAACGATGTATTCTTTCCTTTACGACCCATTTCATCCTGTTTCAAGCTCAATACTGAGGGATACTGTAGTAACATCGTCGGCTAAAGCTATGTTTGTAAACATTCATCGGTAACTTGCAAAAATATTAACTGCTCGGGAAGAGAAATATCGTAAACGTACAATGTGTCCGAATATTTTTGTGACGTGAAAATAAGGTATCATTTCGTTTATAATTTATTACAATAAATCCATACAAATTTATTATATAAAACATATGTCTATGTTTACTTGAATAAATGTCTTATCACTAGAAGAAGTAGTGAACACGATCCATTTATTAGTATCTGCGATACGATCTGATTAATTCAAACATACCCTGGGGTTCGAATATTTTTGTGAGTCACTGTATATAGTATCTAAGAACTATAGTAGATAAGAACAATAGATAAACGTCGGTCATAAGTTTATGCATACGCTTTCAAAGATGCGTACATATAAGCAGAATTCAATGAAACAGTAGGAAATGTTTCGAGATCACTTGAAAAAGCTAAAACCGAGCGAGGGTAATATGTATTAACGTTCGCCTAGCCGACACCAGGTCATCGGTGACCCGAAATTTGAGCGGCAGCGGAGTGGTAACGTCTGCAAGCTCTTATCGCTGTAACAAACAACTCACTGCGTAGAGAGAGAGAGAGAGAGAGAGAGAAAGAGAGAGAAAGAGAGAGTGAGAGAGAGTACGTTCCAGTATGGCGTGAAAACGTAAAGAAACTAACTTACAATTAGATATAAGGAATTTAGTAATTCATCACTGAAAAAGTGAAAGATCATATAGAAAAATTGGAAATATAGTAAACAAAAGTTTTTCAACTGTCCGAAATATTATTAAAAGGTTTAAAGTTGAAGGTAGAATTGAAAACGCACCTGGACGTGAGAGGAAAAATATGTTAAATTCATCAGAAAAACGTTTTATTCTTCGAAATGTGAAACCAAATCCAAGAATCAGTTATTACGAATAATATACGAATTAATATCTCGAGGTCCAGCATTTTTGTAATAAAACTGTTTCTAATGAAATAGTCCGTAGAATATTATGGAAGTTTGGATTTTGCAAAAAAAATTTATTTGAAAATCTGGAGAATTTTTTATTGAAGATATTTTGTGACGAGTGTTATACGAAAGTATGGCAAAAATCGAAACGAACAGAGAAATGGATTCTAAAAATATTCGCTCAACAGTCAAATACGATGGTGGTCACGTTATGGTTTGGGGATATATCAATTATTACGCGGTAGGAAATTAAAAATTTATATGAGAAGCAATGAATAAAATGGAATACTTGAGCAAACTGAAGAATAATTTAAAGCAATGTATCCAAAAATTGGAAATCCTTGAAAAATTCCAATTATATCAAGATAAAGACTCCAAACACAAATCGAATATTATTCAAGAGTGGTTGCTATACCACTGTCCAAAAAACGTAAATACACCACATGAATCAATCACCCGATGTAAATCCCATTGAGATGGTATGGGACAGATTAGATATAAAAATACGAAAGCATTCGATAATTAATAAAGCGGAATTCCAAAGTAAATTAGAAGAGGAATGGCATAATACAGCATTATTCTACAAAATATTAACATTGTTAATATTATTAATTTTTGTAATGTATGCCAATAATTATGCGATGGCAATTGATACATGGAATCGTCTCATTTCATTTCTTTATAACTAGATGAAATTATTATTACGTGAAATTATTTTCTTCATAGTATTGTGCGTTTATGGTCTAATCTTTATGTATCTCAAATAAAAGACTTGAAAAATCTTTTATTACTTCTTTTATCCTTCATATTCCTATCGCTTTCTGCGTGTGTGTATATAATTACGTAACTCACTGTAGGTCAAAAGCGACCCGGTGCCGGCTCGTTGCGTCGCTCATCTACGGCTCATCTAATCTCGGCTATTCGAGGGTTAAAAAATGTTGTTGGAAATGTTGATTTCTACGATCTATCAAAATATTATCGAAATCTCTAAGGTATAATCTAATTTACGTAATTATGTATGTCGGACTTATATTTAGAATGGGAAACTATATAAGAACCATCTGGTGGCTATTGGAAGAGCTATTGTTAGCCATTCTAAGTGAAATTACGCTACAGTGTAAACGTTTGATGTATAGGGTTTGACGAGGCGTCTTTGGAAAAGTGAATTATCGCATCCGAGTTTTTTTTCGAAGAAAAAAAAAAATCGAAATTTAACTCAGACAAATTAAAATGGCAATTCCGTAAAATTCGATCCATGAATTCTTTTACGCGGCACAGCTATTCTCCTTTATTTGACAAGATGCTGTTTCAGCGCATAATTTTCGAGTGAATATCATAGGTATTGAAATACAAGTTACGAAGACACTGCTATTCTCAAATATACAATAATACCGCTTTATTTCTTTGTGCGGCAATATTTCAAAACTATAATGTACGTGTACTCATCTTGTTAGTTTAAGACGTTCAAAACGTTCAACAACAATGTATAATGGTAGAGATATAAAAAATTACATATCGCAGATAAGAAATGAATAATCTTTAACTGGAATAATTTTTCAATTACTAGCCTGAGAGTATGAATGCCTTCGTACGATACCTTTTTATAGATATGATACGAGATACGAGAATGCTGTATCGAATAGCACAGTTAAAATTATAAAGTTCCATTCCGAAACAAATGTTTGGTTGCATTTTTTCAATGTGCTAATGGATAAAAACGTAAAATTAGTTAGGAGCATTGGAAAAAGAAATTGCGCGAATATCATCGAGCTGTTCGTGTGAGCTGAGCAGTGAGTCACAGAAATATTTGTATTCCTTTAATTGTGAACTTTGATGAACTTGAAACGATTCCTATATTTCTATAACACGAGCCCAGAAATCTTTATCGATAAAAATCTGAAGCGATGTATATCGAATAAAGTTAAAATCGAGACATTTGTAATATTTTGATTTTTACGAGATTAAAGTTTCTCGCAATTTCTTCATAATTTACTTTAATCCCGATTTTTATTACGCTGGATTATTACCTTCCGACAAATTTTTCCTTGCCTTTACCATTTTTATGTAGTTAATTATCGATCGTAATTTAAGATCGATGAATAAAGCCACATTTAACAGATTGTCGTTACAATTAAAGTTAATAATACGTGAATAACCATCTTCATCGATATATCGCAAGATGTATGATTTCTTTTACTTTCAAAGTCCATTTTCAAAGTAAGTGGAAGGAAACGTTCCGCGAATGAGAATACGTCTGTGAATCACTGTACATTTACCGTAATATATTACCGAATAAATTATAATAAAATTCTAGAAAATCATGATCGTTTTAAAAAATTTTAAAAAATTGAGATGATAATTGCAAGTATTAAGTATAAATGTTGAAACATAACGATTTTAATAAGAATCTTGAATCTTAAATCGTATTAAAAAGTTTGTTAAAAATCAGCGTGTACCAATTGTAGACTGTGGTAACTGGGTTGTTTTCTCGCTATCAGGAACAAACATAGGATTATCAAAAGCGCCATGAGTTGCGTTTGTTGTGACCGGTGATGAAATTGCCTTTTCGTTAACATTTAGTTCTTCCTTTTCTTTAAGCGATCTGTATCGAGAAACATGTGAAACAATGAAACTATTAAAACTTGGTTTTTTTCTGGAAATTTCGTTAATCTCGCATTATAAATAGATATAATACAATAGAATCTCGATTATTTGCATCTCCGTTTTCTCAATTTCTTATTGTATGAAAACTCTCCTATCTGAAAACTCTCCTATCCTAACACGTTCTACATTCCAACGATAGATGTTTGCAATGGAAAATTGTTCGAAATGAAATGTTTTATTTCGAGAAAGCGAGATGTGATATTAAAAAAGAGAAGAAAGGAGGAAGAAAGTGGAAATATCTATCAATATATAGCTAATATCAGGAAAGTCTAGTTTTTTTTTCTTTTTCTTCACAATGGGTCTTGGTTTTCGAGAATGGTTTGGAACATATAGTATGGATGCCCAAAGTGAGCATGTATGTGGACATGCTTGCTAGATAACCAGGCATTATTTTCATATTTTACTGTTATATTTTATATATTTTTATATTTTATTATATTATATTTATATGTTATATTTAATCGTTATTTTAACGATTGCTTGAAATGTAACCGAAAACTATCAGTGTTTATAGTGGCGATATGAACGATTAATACAGAATTCACCCGATAATGACTAATACGGAAAAATATATGCAATAAATACTGCTATTTTATTACTATACTTTTATTTTACGACTGATACAGGATTAACATTAAATGCAAAAATAAATAAAATATTTTTTCAGTTGAAAGTTGTATTAGACCCTATCGACTTATCCACGACTTACTTTGATAAAGATTATTTACTTTACTTTGGATTTATTTACTAGATGCGTAGAATCAAAAACTTTAAATCAAAATATCTCGGAAACGAAGGCTCATTGAGATAGGATTTTTTGATGAAACTTGTAAGGTCCCATCCTACATATAATTTTCGATATATAAAAATTAACGCGAAGAAAGCACTCGCGTGTTCTATTATCGGAAAATATATGGTAATCGGCACATCCGTGTCGTTAAATTAGTTTGAATAATCGAGATTCTAGACTATGTATTGGCGTTTGTATTATAAAAATGTGATTTGTTAGCATCACATGATATCAACCCGTATCCTATCCGATTAATTGAAGTTTAGATAGGTTTGGATAAGATTATACGATATGCGACTTACATTTTCTTTGAGAGGGTCCCACTGTTACAACTATCGATGGAAAATATATTCTCCCTCTGAAGTTTCATCTGTTCTTTTTCAAAGTACGAATAAAGGCTGTTTGTCCATTCACCCACTGCTCGTATGTGAAGCCATATATAACCTATGAAAAGTAAGCAGGAAATATTAGATGCTGAAATTTGTCGTTTTTCTCGGCAGTGAATTTTTGTAAACCCAAGGGGTCAGGTTCGGGCTCCCATCTGAACAGAATAATATACATGTACAGTCCTGCCTTGTTATAAGTCGACTTTTGCTATCCAGTACCGTATCTTTTTATGATAGTCATCGCGCGGAGAATGAGACTAGCTACGAGCGAGCCAGACCAGAAATCTCGCGCCCGAGATATCGGTTACTTCGGCCTTCTTTTCCAAAATATCATACAGTGTACTTCGATCGAATAATCGCCTGCACCTCGTACGTGATCGCTCATTCGCAGTTTCTCGCACTCGCTGCGTGAAAGAACCGGAAGACGTGCCAAATAGAGGACTGTTTCGTTGTAACTTAAAACTGACTCCTGTCCGTTATCGAGTGGTCTACTTATAACGAGATAATGCTTTAAAAGTCAAACGATGTTATATTTTTTGTCGAACTAAGCCGGATTTCCCCTGGAAATCTAGGATGATGCTGCTTTACCGTAAATGACATAATTTTTTATTAAACGTTTACGCACATATCACGTACGATCTAGGCTAATGTTCGAAATGGCAGCCGTGGTCGATCGATGTGAAATTTAACAGATTTGACACGATCGACGATTACGCGGGGGCTACTGTGCAACCGATGTCATTCTGTGTATATACAGAGTGTTCTAGACCCACCAGATCAATTCTGTGAAAGGAAAGGGAAATGATCTTTATGAAAAATGAACAAAATTTTAACAACTAATTCGGGTATGCTCCATCGAGTGGTGGTAATCGAAAGCTTTGGTACCGACTGGAAAGAGAATTTTTACGCCGAAAGTTAAAATTGACTTTTTTCGTTCATTCCTTTGGTTAAATTTTTCCATAGCTTTCTGTATATTTCAAACTTTCTATGCGACATGTATATACGTAAGTAGAAGATACGGATAAATCAAAATTTTGATTTTCACGTTAACAAAAAAATTAGTAAATTTACAATCTTTTCCAGTTTTCCAGTTTTTCAGTTAAGCAATGTATCGCAGCGGTCACGATATAGCTAGGTCGTAAATTCAATTGTTGAAATATAGCAAGGTTGTAGGTAAAATCCCTAAGGACCGGCACTATCGCAGCTTACCGGTTGCAGCATTTAGAATTACAATTTTGAATTCGGTAACAGAAGAAATATTCGAGTGTGTAATCATATCACTGTTCATCACTTGTCATTATGTATTTTTATATTTTGAAGTAATTATTATAATTACTATTATAATTACTTACTTTTTTCTTTTTTACTGACTTTAAAAACGTTTTCATAGAAAAATAGCTTTAGATCTACTGATCGGTTTCGAAACTTCCAACGTGTAACATCTAAAGCTGTTTAACATTAAGTAAACGTTTCAATGTTTAATGGTGTGTAAAAGTGACACATACATACGTCGTTTCTTCGTTATATTATATTTATCATTACGTTTCCTTTACTTGTATCTTTTTACCAAATTTATTAACTTTTTCTTTATCGCGAAAGTCAAAATTCCGATTTATTCGCATTTCGTATTTGAATATATACAAGCTAGGTATAGGATGTATGAAGATTAATTGTTACGGTTATTACAGCTTGATTCGATATCCGAGGATCGATAAAGATCTGTTTGAAAAGCTAGAAATAAAATAGTTCATGAGCATGATTCTCGAGGTGAAATTCCTTTTTCATCGTATTTTACTCGTCGCAAGAAGGAAAATATGTCCGAAAGTAACATTAATAGGCGAATGAACCGTTCTTCCGAAAAATAAAAAGTAAATATTGTACTTAAACTTATTACACGGAGAAGCAGCGGACTTTTATGTTTTCCAATGTCAAGTGGTTCACATGTATCGAGTTCGCATCGAATTTAGTGTTTTGGCGGAAAATATTGACCATCCAATGCATCTCCATGCGATAAGTCGAAATATTGACTTTCACATGGTTCGAGAACACGTAACATTCCATTCAGACATACTTTCCTTTTTGCAATGAGCAAAATACGATGTGACGAGAAAAAGAGTTTCACCGAGAAAATCATGATCGAGGACTATATTGCGGTTAGCTTTTTCAACGGATCTTTATCGATCTTCCAGTGTCGAATCACGCTATAATGGTCGTGACGATTAATTTTCGTACATTCCGTACAACATGCCAAAGAATTTGGCAACTAGTTTAAGAAGTACGGAGTAACGTAAGATCAGAGACACTTGAAAACTTATTTCAGGATTCGCGGAATATGTCCAGTTCTCGTTAGTAAAAGAGTTTAGAGATAAAGGGAATTTCTTTGAGCAAAAGGGACATTTTAACAAAAATGCATAATTTTGTTCGCATAGAAAGAAAATTAAAGATGTTACTAAAACATTCTCTTTTCTCTTTTCTTTTTCTCACAATTTATGTTGCGATTCTAAGAATAAACGATTAGCGATAGTAGCGATTTTCGCCGATAGCGTACACACGTGTTCATCGAGTGTTTCGAGAAAAATTTTTAATCCAATATGTTATAAATAGTTTTTGCAAACGTTTATTTAAAAATTTTCTAATGGACAAATGAATTTTCTAAATGGAGAGTATCGATCTTCGTAATACATCGATACGACGCATTGCATATGTATATAAAAGGTATTATTAATTGTAAATTTATTACGTTTTATTTACAATTATTAATTGTTAATTATTAATTATTCAAACCTTCTTGTTCTGGTGCACTGCTAATGGTGAAAGGATGCCATTCGTAACGCGCTATAACCGGAATATTGACGAAGACATAATCGCCAGGATGAAAGTAGAAATGCGAAGGTCTCTTTATAACCAAGTGTGTTACTCTCGATGGTAAGAGAAGGCCTGAACTTATGTATGTTTTCCCCAGTTGCGAGCGAGACCAGGCAATTCGATGTATTCTTTCCAGTAGGTATACGATACCTGGTCCTAAGAACCATTTCCAGAAATTCGGACCATGCAATATCATCAGTAGCCAGAATGGTATGTATAATAAGTGTGACCAGTAAAATATCTGTAAAATATTAGACGATTTATTAATTCGATATACCGTCATCACGGCTCGGGGCCTCCCAAGTTGGGGGTTTAATCAAATCTAATACCATTACGAACAAATTTCATGGAATTTGTAAGTTAGTGAACGTAAGTTAAAATAATGAAATATAATAATGAAAATATTCGAGAAATTAATGGTGAAACGAAATATTCGTGAAAGCGTAAAAAGGTCAAGGAGATAAATTATTTCATAGTCTTTCGAAGAAAACCTACGTGTTACAGGTTTACTTGAAAAAAATCACATTTCGTATGCATCAATATCGTTATAAGGAATTTTACTGCAAAGTAATATTGTTATCGATAAAATGTATGTACAATTGATATTCATGCAAAAATATCGTACCGTTTCTAAATTATATGTCACGTGATTCTCCGGGTCTGGATCAGTGGAGATCTTGTTTATGCACAATTTAAAATTATCTTTTGCAGATCTAATTCGACTCGATCTATCGATCGAAGAATATCGCGTACCGAGTTGAGCCAACGACATCGTAACACGTGAAACATGATCCGTTGAAGCGTGTTACATTGTTACTTCATATAGTCACTGACAATAAGAAAAGTCGAGAGTTCGTTTCGAAGATGAATACACTTGTGCGAATCGAAGTAAATGATCGAGAATTAGAACATTTATTAGTTTAAAGTTCTTATTAGTACTATGCTTTTACTCGATCACTCTCGGTCTTTTTTTAGGACCGCTATATTAAGCCTAATTGTGCAATTACTCCGCGGTGTACATCGGACAATGTCGGTGGTACATCAAATTTTAGTGTTCATATTTCGGGAATGGCTTACGCACATGTATTACATCTAAACAGGCTTTTGAAAACGTTTCGATGGTATATCATATATTATATGATATATAATAATATATTAAATAATGTGATAAAAAATGTGAAATTTTTCCATTTTTTCTCTGAATTTTTCAGTTTTTCATATCTTTCGTAATTCTTCTTTTAAAATTGTAAAGGCATACGTTTGGTCAAAGATGTAATGTTTCGTAATATCGAAATTTGATCCGAATGTCATTCAAAATAAAGTAATCGATTTCGTTGTTACACGAAAGTTTATTTAACGTTACTCGTCTCCAGAGTGCAAACGATTAAGGCACCCTGTGTCTATATTTCTTTTTAAGAAACTCCCATCGCCTAGTTAATTGCAGTTTAGGGTTAGCAGGGATATCGATATTTTAATCAAATTTCGCGTAATGAAACGATCAATTATTAAAGACAAGTGTATTAAAGACAAGTGAAATGGCTAATTTTAATCTCTCAATGACATTTATGCCGTTGATAATATTATGCTATGTACGTTTAAATTATTTTTCTAAATCTATCCTTTTCTTCGGGGAATTCGGTCTGATATGACCGTGAGGTATACTGTTATACTCGACTCACTGTCGCGGGACAAAACGTATCAAAGAAATTCTATTGGTTACAGCTCTGCAGGTCTAAAAATGTTAAAGTTTGGAAGATTCTGCCAATACGCACATGCGCGCGCATAGGGTGATGCATTTAAACGAGAGAATATCTAAATATATTTTTTCTTTGGAACCAAATGGCACTGTTTGTGTTATTCATCTTAGAAGATCAATTTTTCAAGAAAATTTGGGATCTATATCTTATCTATAATCTAGAGATCAAGATCTATATCTACATACATATTTTACATGTTCATCTAAATCTTTTAAATATCTTTTCTCCACATCTTCTTAAATCATGCAACTGAAATCAAATCCTTTATAAATCAACTGTTTCGATAACTTTATAAATTACGCTGTTTCGATCATTCGACATTTCATTTCATTCGATAATTTGATCATTTATATTGCTTTGAAATGATTCGGAATTATATATTGTATTCAAAATGGTAGCCATTCATGCAATAAATAAGTCTCTTTATAAATGATTTGTTCACATTTTTTAGCTTCAGTAGCATAATTGAAACACATGCTATAATAAATCTTTGCCTCGTATTCTCTGACGTTGAAAGTTTACTAAGATAAATATTTCCTATTTTTAACCATAAATAAAAATCCTAGCCCTTTGATTCTCTGATGAGATCCAAAGAGCGACCTGGTCACTCCATTCAGCTCTCTCGTCAAATTCCACCTTCGGAAAATTGCATATCAAGATGTGTTCTTGCTATTTTAGTTGGTAGGTAGATGGATACCCATTGTTTTAGAACCACGCGACTTTGCGCAACATTTAATACATTATGTACATTTAGATTCGCGTTAAAAGACTCGACAACTCTGTTGTCGACAACAACTGCGAAACAGGGATAAAGCTTCCTTTACTTTTCTTACTCATTTTGGATTATCAACGAATCGGTAATGTATATCGAGTAAGTTATGTACCAGCGATCGGTGAAAAGAATTTATTCGAAAAAAGAAATATAGAAAATTATTTAACCGATGATGTGACGATTGACAAAATCTCGATTCGACAATTTAAATAATCGGCTTTACGTAATTCCTAGAAGAGAAAAACCTTAGAAAAATTAATTCTTTTTTTATTTCCTTTTCTGAAAGTACATATTCTGGGAAATATATCTACAGACGCATATATTGCTGAATTTTTGTTGATATTTTCCATAATTTCTTCTTTAATGCTAAATGTAATACCCCGTGTAAAAAAGTGTAATAATGCAAGGATGGCGTCAATTGCTCTTTATCACTCTCAGTTTGGTACCGTCAAAGAGACAGAACTTTGTCCACGTCGTAGACGTAGCCTTCTACAAATGCTGAACTTAAAACATTCTTAGGGTAAAACATCTGCTATTGGACGATTCACATCGTCTAGGAACGTCTACGAACAAATAGTAATAATTATGGACATTGAGAAATTCGGGGAAATTTCCTTTAACCTTTAAGACGAGAATAAACCTCCTAACGTTTTTAGTTTTCGCGGAATACTTCATGTTTTTACAGAGTTTGTGTTTTTCTCGAAAACAGTGTATGATAGAGCAATTATGTTTACGGATTCGTGTTCGGAAAGGCAAACTCTACAAGAATCGTTGGATATTATAGATCAGAGTAAAAGCTCTAAAATTTATTCGAAATTTATTCGACAGTGTTATATGCATATAAATATAATATTTTTAACGTACGCATACATATACACACGTACGTATACGTATATTTATAAAATGAAAGATACACAAATAATAATATGGCTTACCGATGTATAGAAATGTGAACTAATATTATTTTTTAATTATCGAGCTGTTGACATACTCGAATGCAATATGGTAGAATGAACAATCTTTTTGGACGGAAGTTCCATTAAGTCAATGATGTGTTCTTTATTCTATACCAGTTTGTAAAATATCAAAAAATTAAATTAAATTGAAAAACTATCGAAAACTTGACATGAATTATTGTGAGAACGGTTATGTTGCGATCCATGCTTTCTTTGACTCCTTTAGTAGTGATAGTAGTTATACATGGGTAGAATACGATGCAATAAAAGAGTGAAATTTATCCTTACTCTGTTTAACAGACCTCCATCGATCCGAAAATGTAGAATCTATTATCTAAATGGATTATCTGATGGATTTGAAAAATCGAATTTTCTTCTTTCTTAATTTTTTAAAAATTCGAAGTTCGTAAATTGTTACGTCAAAGGGATATTCCATGTGAGAAGTACTCGTAGTTCGTCGACCACGTACTATAACGCAGATGAAATGGAAATATTGTTTCAAACCTATTTTACTTGTTTTACTTGTTACTCATATAAGAAAAGAGTTTTATCGAATGTAATTCAAGTTTCTTGTTCGTATATTATGTAGCGTGTAATGATCTCTGAATGTAGTCGGAGACTATGACCGCGTGAGTAACCTGCGAATGGGTTGAGAATGACACAGAGTTATATAGATGCATAGTCCGTAATTATTCGTGTTAAGTAAGAATAAGAGAAAGAAAATGAAAATTTGTGAGTGACAAAGTTAAATTTACACGGTGACAAAATAATACAAGTATTGAAAAACGTGATCGCTAGGCCAACAACTTATTTAGAACACGAAAAGGAATAACCGACAGTTTTTATAAAACGGAGGTTTCGTCGTATGAACCTGGAACGGCTGATTACGCAGTAAAGTGTAAAAAAATCTTATTTTACCGAAAAGAAAGGTTTAAGTTTTTTTTCGTTTTACGATACATCCGACTTCAAATTTTACAGAAACATTTTGCATAGAATATTCTGCGAAATTTTTAGCGTTCCATTTTTCTCATATATCAATTATCTAATTTTTCTATAGCTGTTTAACCTAGTTTTCTGTTTTGGATATAAATGATTATTTTCTGTTCAAACTGCGATCATTTCTATCATTACTAAAATTTTCGAAAACCCGTACGCTATACTTTAGATAATCAAGAAAATTTGTCTATTTTAGATTCAACTTTTTAAGTTTCAATTCGTGACAATTGTGACGGTCAACGATCAATGTTTTGTTAGAGGGGGTTGCTGCGAACAGCGAATAACTTTGTCATTTTGTAAGATTTTTAGTTTTAAAATATTGCAAAACAAAGCTGAAACTTACATTTATAATCATCGAGAACAACTACATGTTTCATTTTGTAATTAGCTATAAAGAAACAATTGTCAAGCTTTCCCTATTTTCTAACATGTCAGAGCAGTATACCCCCCGTATACCCTCACTTGTAAGGCACACCCTCTTTTTACTTATTTCACGAAATTCAGATCAGAGAATTATTATACTTTATTTATAATGAAATGTGGTTTATAACCTCGAAACATCCACCACGTCGAACAAACGGCATCGAACACACCATTATTACAACAAGAAGAATGGTAATTATGACTCCAGTAGGATTTGCCCAGCCTGCAATGAGTCCAAACAAAGCTGGACGACTTGTTAATAGCCACTCAGACATTGTATAGTTGTTGCGATTAAGAATTTCATCATACACCACGATGGTACCTGAAAACATTTAACAAAATTTTAGAACACAATTTCTCCATTAACACAACCGTTAATTGAATTTTTATAACTTTTTCATAAATTTGAGGGGAATAATTTTACATAAAATCGAATGTTTTTAACACAACGACTAATGTATCGCATCATTGGCAACACTTGGGAAGATAATATTTTAATCGTGCTCGATATAACGCCAAGAAAAGAAAAGATCGCACGATTTATGGTATATTTAGGAGGACTATATAAAATACGATATAAATTCAATTTTACTACGTATTTATTGTTGTTTGTTCATGTTATTTGATCAAGTGATATCTGAAAATACAGATGTGTTTGAAACACTGTATCTATGTAAGTGGTCTGTCTCAAAAGTAATCGAGCATTTCGATTGGTGGCTCTGATAAAAAATATGAGTAAAACGGTACGAATTTTACTAGTTTATATTATACTTCATTTTGAGAACACATGCTGTTACACTGGATTATTTGTTAATCTAAAGAGTGTTGTAAGACTTCTTTTTTGTTTTCTTCGATTTGAACGATTTCTATCCGAAAGAAGGTGGCCATCTTCATACAACTGAAAACATCGAAGGTATTCGAAAGACCGCGATCAATCGAGAAAAATACATTAAAGTATGAAATATTTTGGCATTGGTTCGAGAGGTAGGAAAATGTTATGTATGGATAACATAAATGGTGTAATTCATTGTACAATGGCATGCCAATATTGACTTACGATTTACGACAGATTCGCCATCAAACGACAAGAAACGTTTGTCGACTTAGTCGTTTTCTTTCTTTATCTTTAAACTTTATCGTTTATCGAATTGTACTAAATACATCGATGTATTATATTCTTTCTCGATCCTTTTGCGAATTTTATAAAATGAGTATTCCAGCACAGTCGTTTATATATTTATAAGTAACTTTAATATACGCGATAATAAACATTTAGCAAACTTGTTTCTTAGGATCGATCGAATGATATCCAAATATCGTTAAAAATGTACAATTGCTAGAACAACGCAAACTATACGGTTTTGTAAAAGCTGCGGATTGATACGAAATCTTCATCGTCACATGGTTTCAACGCGTATTGATCGTTTAAGAATCTATTTAGATACGTTTATACATGTATGTGTAAATATTTCCTCGAAGAAATAGAAACATTTGGTCTTTAGTCTTATTCGTCGAGAATTTTTATGAAAAGTAATTGCGTATGCATAGCATGAAAAATAAACTATATTTGGAAGTAAAAACTATATTAGTTGCTTCTCGTGATAATCACTTTCATTTTTAAAAATTCGATCTAAGATATCTCTTATAAATACGTACTTTATCGTTATTGGGATAGACCACCTACATATACGTATATATGTGTATACAGGATGATTCGTTCGATAGTGGACCGAAAGAGAATATCATCGCACAAACGCAGGTAAATATTGCCAAGTAGGTGGCCAATATGCTTACACGATGATCCGACAAATGTGTGCAGCGATTACATTTGTGTGCGATCGGAGAAGTTTCAAGTGTCGTGGTTTCTACCAGCGAGCAGATCATCCTGTACTTTTACAAACTTTTTCCATTTATCGGAAAGGGAATTTGCATTTGGCTTTATTTTATGTATTATAAAATAATAATGTAGTATAGTACCAAAATTAAGAAGATGCATCGATGTGTGAATTATGCTGAGCACACCAATTAGAACTCCAGTCACTTTGTGAAGGTAGATGTGTTGATCCAATGGCAGTACAGAATTGAAACCATGAGTTCGTAAAAAGGTAATGCATTGGCGTAACATAAGGACCAAGATGAAGCAGCAGTTAAAATTCAAACACTGACCTATTAAAATTACGAGATACCTTTAGTCATTTATAATACTATTCGTAGAGACATCCTCTGTAGGATGTATATAAATATTTTTCAAGTATTTCTTGTATTACTTAATATTGCTTATCTGCTTTTTCTCAGAAATGTCACGGTATGAAATAATCGTGCTTATGTTTCTATCAGCTTGGGTGAATTTCTTGTGAGATTTATAGGTATGAAATTGAACTTTTCAAAGATAAAGAATTTTTCAAATAACGAAACAGTTTCGTAGAATTTGAGATTTCTGAACTCTAATTTTGTTATCGCGTGTTAATTCAGTTATTTATATATAAAAAATCAACATTTATTCAATCGCAATATTTTATGATACATAATGTAAACAACCGTATACTAATAAGGCTCTGGTCGATTAATTTGCATATAATTTAAGTATATTAAATTACGTCTCGATAAATATTCAGATATTTAATATATCCAGATGTAGTAGTAGTAATAAAAATAACAAGAATAATAATAATAAAAGATATTACATATATAAAGTCAACACTGAAATCAGAACATTCCTAATAGAATTGTAGCGACCATCATTCTCACCCTCACCGCTAGGTGGATTCCGACTTCGAGGACTTTCTCGCAAATCCTCGGAAAACCTTTCAATCCAATATATATAACTTTTCGTCCTTCCAATAGTATCCCAGTGTCTAAGGCAACTTTTTCCTAGACCTTCGTGAGTGTCGGACGTACAGGCCCAAAATCCTCCGCAGTCGTCGAGAAGCCCCTTAACGTTTATAAACCCTTATAATTAAACGCGTATACCTGAAGTAGTTGTACGTAAGTGTAATATCATTCTAGAGTGCTGCATCTACATTAATAATATCAAGATTAGACAATATATCAAGTACACAATGGTGTAATCCCTTGGAGTCAGTGTAGAATAAATTAAAGACACTAACACGGAGTAACATAATATGTGAAAATAAAAACATAGATGCAGTACTAAAAATAATAAAAGAGAAAGGACTCACACAAAAGCGCGCGCATTAACAAGATTAATGTCCAGATAAAAAACACGGCTAAATTAAAAATTTGAAGAACAGCTATGGAAAGGAAGAAATCGACAGACATGCCGCCAATCAAAAAAGCAGCCCCTACAAACATAATGAAAGTAGAAAATGAGAAAGCAGCATCTCTGCAAGACGATGATTTGTTAAAAATCATCGACAAATTAAATAAAACTATTGAGTTGTTCTCGAAGGAATTGGAGGAAGAGCGAGCGAAGAACAACGGGGGAAATCCCAGTCCTGCGTTTCCCAGCCACACCGAGCCGCCAAGCCAGGTATCCAGGCCGAAGGAGAAACTCGCAACCAAGGAAGATATGACACCGATCGAGGACAAAGAAAAGTGGACAAAAGTCGAGCCAACCAAGAGATCCCGACCGAACCAGCCCCTGAATCCAGCGGCCAGCAGCAGCACCAGCTACCATCAGCAGCCCCGAAGGACGGATGCACCACCACTTCCATCATCGACTAGAAAGATGAAGACGATGAACGACATCTTCGAGCAACGAAGCTCACCGAACGGGACCGACAACCAGGTAAGGAGCACAAGACCTCCTCCCATAACAATAATCAACACACAATGTAAAAAGACCATCGAGATAGTATCGAAAATAACCAAAGATTTCTTCACAAAAAAAGTTACAAACAGTAAGCACCTTTTACACGTGAACACGATCGCCGCGCATAAATCGGTATGCGATCTTCTAAAAAAAAAAGACAATATCAAATTCTTCACATACTCACCGAAAGGCACACGAAATATGTTAATCCTATTAAAAAACCTAGACGGCGACTTTGAGCCGGAAAAGTCCTGAACGAGTTGCGTTCGAAAAGCATTCCAGACGTGCAGTTCCAAGCTGTAAAAAAATTCGAAACGAGGAAGTCAATTCTCGAAGGTAGAAACCTACCAATCTACATAGTACAGCTGTCTTCTGACAGCAAAATAGATAATTTAAAGCAAACGAAATTTGTACTCCATTCCCTGATACATTGAGAAAGGATATTAAAAAAAGATCGTGTGCAGTGTAAAAGGTGCCAGAGGATAGGTCACATCGCCCTAAACTGTAATTTAGATTATAGATGTGTAGCGACCATCATTCTCGCAGTTAAGCGAAACGAAATTAAATCCTCGACACAGAATTGTGTTTGAGAATTACAATTTCGTTCGAAACGATAGATTTAACGCTAAACAGGGCGGCGGAACGGGCATCGTCATACGTAAGGACATAAAATTCAGACACATTTGCCTAGACCACGAAACGACAGACAGAAGTTTCGAATCAACAGTTATACAGATAAAACTTCAAGGCGCGGTCAAGCTATTCATAATCGCAGGGTACGCAGTGCGCAATGGTAACAAAGAGTTTAAGGTAGAGTTTAAATCGCTATTTAGGCAGCTTGAATTATATAGAGCCAATAATTATTTTATCCTAGCCGGTGACCTGAACGCGAAACATCACTCCCGGGGTAATGCCACAAACAATAGCAGAGGGACACAACTGAACGTGTGGGCCCTCGAAAACTATACCCTATATCGACTCTCTTCATCCACAGAATAGCAATTCCATCCTATCCAAAAATCGGGGCCTTCATAGACCTCTGCTTAGCGGATAGTCGCATTATATTCCATAAGACACCCAGCCACCACACCCTAGACTCGTTCGAATATGATAGCGACCATCGAGCAGTGTTAATAGAAATATCGATACCCTCGATGGGAACGCTAGAAATAGACGAATCAATCATCCCGGACCGATACAACTTCCACAAAGCCGATTGGACTAAATTCGCAGAATACTTAACTAAGACTGACATCCCAGACGTTCCGAACAACAGAAATTTAAACATAGAGGAAATAGACACCCTTCTCGACAAATTAAACAGCAAAATTATCAGCGCAATGGACTCTACTATTCCACGCATAGCAAACAGCAACACGACGGACAAATACCTCACTCCTTGCATCAAACAGTTACGCAGACAAAAATGTCAGATCATCGAGCGACTCAATAGACTCACGAGCCTCGAATCGTACACAAGTAGAAACGATACGGCAATAGTAGCATTCAAAGACTCTCTAAAAAAAATCAGATACGATATTAAGAAAGCTTTCCACGATTCGGTGAATAACTTCTGGAAAAAGAAAATTTCCAGTATCTCACCGCGTCAATCGTCGAAATTATTTTCCGGCCATCAATAGTATATTCCGACCGAAGGAGGCAAGAGCCATAGGAACCTTAAAAATTCCTATGGCAAATGCACACCTCCTTCGAGACACAAACGTACGATTCGACACTCGCCAGACAGACGTTCTTATTACTGACACACAACATAAACTAAACGTACTTGGTAACCACTTCGAATCGATGCAAACGCAAAACATGCACATGAGAAAAGGCCAACTTTCTTGCATCATTCGACAGAAAACCGACAAACTTAGAGAGGACATTTTGGAAGACCGACTCAACGACAAGACTGTCTGCACGTTCGACAACGACAACACGGCGGACGAACCAAACAACACACGCGTGCCCTCGGACTATTTCACCTCATTCATAGAACTGAAACTAAAGTTCAAAAAACTAAATAACAAAAAATCCTCCAGTTTCGACAACATTCCTAATATTGAACTCAAAAACCTGCCATTGCAGTACGTATATAATTACTCGATCCTATTCAATAATTGCTTGAATAGAAAGTATTTTCTCACCGCTTGGAAAACAGCGAAATTAATTACAATAAAGAAAAAAGGCAAAGAGGGAAGTAATCCAACGGATTGCCGACCTATTAGCCTTCTAGCGAATATTAGCAAAGTTTTCGAAACTGTCATAAACAAAGCACTGACGACGTATTGTGACGAAAATGACATTATCCCAGAGACACAATTCGGGTTCAGGTATCAACATTCGACAATATACGCGATTTCCAAATTCACATCCGAAATTTGTTGGGCGAGAAACGCCGACGAATGCGTAGGCGCGGACCTTGTAGACCTGGAGAAAGCTTTTGACACGGTGTGGCTGGACGGTCTCTTCTTCAAACTCCTGAGGAGGAACTTTCCGCCGCATCTTGTCAAAATGATCTGGGACATGCTAGATGGGAAAAAATTTCTCGTCACGGATCACAATTGCTCGTCTACGAAAACCTTTGACATTGAGAATGGCTTGCAACAAGGCACTGTCAATTCCCCCATCTTGTTTAGCATATACATAAGCGATTTACTCCGTATGTTCAACCTAAATAACGACCCCAACAAATTCGCAATAGCCTTCGCCGATCATTTGCTAATTTACATAAAAGATAGCAGACTATCAAAATTAAAAGCGCGATTATATGACATTTTTGAAAGAATCCAAGATTACTTCCACACGTGGAAGTCAAAAATCAACACCGATAAATGTGAAACGATTTTGTTCCGGCCATGCATATCACAGATTTTGAACGTCAACAATAACCATGTCCAAACGCAGATCGAGAAAGCCCATAAGGCATTCGACAGTCACAAACGTCTGTCTTATTCAAAACTACTAAGCGCGGAAACAAAGATTATTTGCTACAAAACACTTGTAAGACCGATACTGACATATGGCTGCCCCATATGGTTCAACGTATCGGCAAGTACAATAGAGAAACGGAGGATTTTCGAGAGAAAATGCCTCCCTAACAGGCCCTGTCTTAGACCGGGATACTATTGGAGGATCGGGAAATGATATGTATAGGAATATGAGATTTTCCGAGGAACTTGCGAGAAAGTCCTCGAAGTCAGAATCCATCTGGTAGCGAGGGTGAGAATGATGGTCGTTACAGTATGCTTAAATATCCCATTTTATTCATTGTTTCTGTTGTAAATTTTAAACTTCCTAACCCGTAGTAATTGATACATTCCCAAACCATAATGACCACCACCGTATTTGACTGTTGAGCGAGCATTTTTAGGATCCATTTCTTCGTTTG